GTGTGCTCTTCCGATCTAAAATATGTATTAAATATACATTCTGAAATATATATTTATTATTATTTATTTTTTCAAATATGCATCTTTTTTTTGTCATAAAATAATCTATTTTAAGGAAAATATCTCATAAAGTAAACAATTATATATTTAAAATGTAACGATGCACCTCCTTAAAGAACGCATCGTTCCCGCACATACAACCAGCGGGAATCGGGCGCAAGGCGCCCGGATTACCTTTTGCGCCACTCAACGACACACACGGGAAACTCACCCCGCCGAGCACTCCCTTGTCCTTTTTTGAGCGCACCCGGAGATTACCGACGAGACGCGGAAACGTCCGAACCTGCGCCCGAGCAGGTATAAAAGCCGGGAAAATTTCCGACAGCGACACTTCTCGCCCGACTCGCTACCCGCCAGTCCGCCAGAAGTACTATCCACACCAGAACCGCGAGCAGTTCGAGAAAAAGGGGTCGAGAGAGAGTTCTCAGCCTCCGCCTAGCATTCTCAGGCAGACCTGCTCCGGGTCCCTTCCTCACGGGACGGTCAGCACCGGGGTCGAGAGGGTTCTCGGCCTCAGCCAAGTCTATCTAGGCAAACCGCTTCCGACTCCTTCCTCCGGAATCGCCGAATCCAGGGGTTTGAGGGTGTTCTCACTCCCTACTGAGAAAATATCTCAGCGGCGGATTCCCCCGACAAACAACACGGGCACCGATTCTCGGAAACGGCTCGGGCCGCGCGCCCCCTTCACCGCGCACCACCGGAGGCACTCGTCTCACGCGCCGCGCCGCTCCCCGCCTGCCGCGCCTACCGCGCGCCCACCGACGTCACACACCGGCACGTGCACAACCGATGGGCACCCACCGGCGCTCGCGCTAAAACCTGTACATATGTGTATATAACGTCCATCCGCGCGTACCGAACTGTATCGATCCTAGTATTTAAATAAACTCGTTCTTTTGTACATATTAAAATCCGAGTTACATTAATTCCTTATCCGCCCTGAGCCAATTTCGCCGCCCGTTTTCCGACGAGCTACTCCGTGCGACGAAATAACGGCAGTTGTTACAAAAATATGTTTGAAAATAAAATTGTTCACTGAACTCAAATTTTAAATCTGTAATTTTCCTTATCCTTATTATCGTCGTTCCTCGGAGAATAATAAGACGTCTCATAAACCATACATTAATAAATAATAATTAATTGATAAAAAAATATATATATATAAATTTTTGTACAATTAAATAATAATCAATTTATTATAAATTTTCTATTACAAATTTTCTAAAAATTTGAGAACATGTTTGCCATATTAAAAAGATATTCAAATAGATATTAGTCGATAAAGTATTTTATCTATTTTATCTATTTTAACATAATAGACTAAAAATTGAAAGTACATACAAGTTAGTAAAATTATTACAGCACAATAAGCACATTGTATATACAGAAACATATTTACAACTGCGCTGCGGGCTGTAAAAAGAAAACAATTTAAGACGATAAAAATTTTTCATTTGTATTGTATTTTATGTTCTGGAAGAGTAACTTTGTCTTTCTGTCTCTCTCTCTCTCTATCTATCTATCTATCTATCTATCTATGTATCTTCTAATAATCGGTTGTTTAGCTTATTGTTTAAATTTATTGTTTAACTTTAACTCTTGAAAAATATTATTTAATTTTTAATATTTTAGATTATGTGTTTTCGTTTTATTTTTCAGGAAAAACTGCGACAGGAAATATCAGCCACATTCAATAAGGTTAATTTGGTTAATGCCCAACGACTCTTTAACATGCAATATTTTCATATGGTGTTTCAAAAGACTTTAAGATTGTTTCCTATATCACCTATCATTATGCATCAACTTACAGGAGATATAAAACTCGGTATTTTTGTAACACACACATAGTTTATTGAGTCAATGAACGAAATTAATTTAAATTAATAGATTAATATAATAATACTTCATCAAGTTACGAAAAAGAGCTTTACCGATTCCAGAATCGTGTACTTTGCCGGAGGGATGTTATATTATGATTCCAATATTTGCCATTCATCGTAATCCTGCGTACTGGCATAAGCCGTTGGAATTTATTCCTGAACGATTTTCAGCCGAAAATTCATCAAGTCGTTTTCGTTATATATATATTCCGTTTGGTACAGGCCTCAGGGATTGCATAGGTAGATATTTTAATATAAACCATTTATTTTGAGAATAATGGAACTTTGGAAAATCTTGTATCTGTCTATCATGTCACGTTACGTATAATTTAATTTCTATTGAAGTTCATGATCTTCATTTTTTTCATAATGCTTTCCATGATTATTATAGATTTATATCATTTTCACACTAAACAAGTGAAATAAAAAAAGTTTCTATAATATGCACGTTCAACATTATTAAATATTAAGACTACGTTGTCTTAGTTATTGATTTATTAATACTTTATTTTTTCTACATATTTATATTATTTTTAGGTCAGAGATATGTACTTTTATCCGTGGCGACGATAGTTGTAAATCTGATCCGACGATTTCGATTTGTGATGACTGGCAGCGTAGATGACATTAAAGTAACAGCCGATTTCTTGTTTCGAGCTCGAGATGTCAAAATGTCTATATCTCGTGTGCGAGTTATTAATAACAGCGATTTTTACAATGATTGATAACATTGTAATTAATTAATAATTATGAATTTTAATAATTATAACAGATTATTATTTTAATTTTTGTGAGTCAATCTCACATATGCGCACACGTACTATAAATATACACTATATAGTATACTTATTTTTATATTATAGTATATCTCTACTTGAAAAGAAATATGTGAACATTTCTTTTCAAGTGTAAAACGGAGAATAACTTTGAAATAAATTAATTCTATCAATGTTCACTTTTTTATTTTAACCTGTTATACTTATTGTTAATCTGTCATGAAATAATTTTTAATAGAAGTTTTTTTTTAATAGAACTTTAATAGAACAGTTAGCTTATCATTCTTTAAAAATAGTGTCAAAATTATAGTTTGAAATTGTTACAAAATTTTTAATAACTGTCATTTTTTGTTATTGCAAGAAAATATTATGTATGCTATCATATCACATGTCATTGAGAAGTTTTATAATTTAACTTTTACAGCTTTTAGCTATAATAATAATTCAATAGCAATGCTAAAATAATTTGTCACATTCATGTACTGCAATAAATTTAATAAAAATAAAAAGTTGCATTGAATATTGTAACAATACTGGTACAATCTTTTGGAATTTTTTACTTTTTTTAGAAATGCCTTCTTAAATTTTAAATCAATTAAAATATGATATAATAACTCTTTGTGTATAATTGTAATAAAACATTTTAATAATCTAAATGTATATTGAATTTAGAAAACATGTAAATGTTTAATAAATACGAAAAAAGGTTTTACGATTTAATGACAAATTATGCAACCAAGAGTAAGCAGTCAATTTAAAGATTTTAAATTTCTTGTAATCTATAAATGGATTTTATCAATTTTAATTCTGTAATACTATTATATAACGGAGCATGCAAACACGTATAGCAAACTACATTCCATAATTCTCTCTCGCGTGTAATTTACTTATTAGAGTCTGTTTGCTTCTTCCACGTGAATAAAATACAGACTCACGATATATCTTGCGATTTCTTGAATGTGAAATGTATACTTTTTTAAGAATAGAATTATATATTGGCTGTTCTGTATTTGGCAAACTAGAGTTATAAAGACAAATAATAAGAAGTAAAATTAAAATGCCGAAAATGAGTAAATTTATGGATGTTAATAAATATATTTCTAATTATATTCTAAGATATACATATATATATATATACTATATATTATACAC